GCCCCCCTCCAAAATAAGAAATGCATGCATGACCATGTCAGTCTGCATTTCAACTATGTGCACAATAGGCTGCCTGGTACTTACTCTTGAATCTTAGAGAAATGAATCATATCTTAATGCTAGGATGTTTTAAAGTGCATTTGCAGGGAATATAGGAAGCATGTATGTAAATTTCTCAGACCAGTACTTTTAGGACTACTTATGCCATCACAACTGGTGACCCGATCAGAACACCACACAAAACCAAAAATGGCAATATGGCTCTTTAAAAAAAAATAAATAAAAAAAAATTTAAAAACCCAGAGAAGGAGAAAAGGTGTTCAATGTAGCATTTATTCTGTTCTGGATTATGGCTCCAAAAACTTTAAAGCAGTGGAAAAGCTTTGTTTCCTAATCTGCTTTTGGTTTAAGATTTAAAAAAAACCAAACCAAAACAAAACCCCTTAAAGTTTGACAAATTACTGCATACACACTTTAGGTCACAACTCAATCCAAATCTGGATGTCCCAGATAGGTTTTAGTCATTGTAAAGGTTTTACTTATCGTAAAAGTCCACCCTATTTGATAAGTCTTTAAGAGTCCCTATTAAAAAAGACAGTATAATCTTGTTTAAAAAGAGCCTGAAGAGACACCTTGAAGCATACTGAAAACTATGGATGAAACATTATATACTATGGTTGAAACATTATATACAATGGCAACATATTCTACAGTAATGTAGGATCTAAGAATTCAAGAAAAATGGCATATCTTTACCACTGATTTCTGTTAATACTGCTGGGTGCAATTTAGAAATGGCAGTTTTACAATGAAAGGTGTTTATATGCCTTTCTTGCCATATCGGTCCAAGACAAATATCCTGAGATTTAAGACATCAGACAAATCAAGTGACCACCTGAATCTTTAAAATAAATAAATAAATAAATAAAGTCTTCAAAACTTTATCAGCGATAATGTCCCTTCATATGCAACACTGCTACAGAAGTGCAAACATAGAAGTGGTCAGAAGGAAACAGGATGCCAGAAACACAAATGTTGCATTTCTGAAGGTTTTTTCTCATTTTTGTTTATTTCCCATCATTAGAAATGGCCTTGCAAAGACCTTAAAGACTAATACAACATCCCCCACCCCACCCCCACCCCCACATAGTTACTTTCATAGTTCTCTTTGCACCACTTGCTTGTTATCAAAACTATGTTTATACAAAGTATACATTGTGTCAAAACTGTGCTGACACTAAACAAGTCCATTTTAGTTTTCTACTAATTCATGTTACATGGTTGCTACTTCAAAAAATTGACACTATATTATTTAATGTGGGTCAGGACTGCCCAATCCCAGCTTCGGTTTAGGGTAAAACAGAAGAAAACGGACAAGTGGAAGTTCAACACATAAGTGAACAGAAAACAAAGGACCATTACCTAAAATGTTGCTGTACTGCTATTCATTTCAACATAGAAGTCCCCTTACAAATAAGTTACATAAAGGTGGTCTGTAAAGGGAAAAACTGTTCCTTTATTATATGCCATAAGCAAAAAGGACAAAATACTGAAAAGACTTTTTAAAAAGATTAATTTTTAATGTATAAAAATAACTGTTTTGAAAGACTACTATGATTGAAGAAATGGGGAAAGAATGACATTCAAAGAATAAAAACTGACAATTTAAGCTAGGTGAATCTGGGTTAGAGTAAAAAAAACCAAAAAAAAAACCACAACAACACTTAAAACATTACATTGTAAGAAAAGCAAAGCAGGGCACAAGCAGATCACTATCATCATCTACATTTGACAAAATGGCAAAGAACAATTGCCCCATTTGTCTAATATAGCCAAAGCGATTCTGGCTTAATTTAAGATAGTAATAAAGTATGTCAGAAAAAATATCACTGGAATACTGCAAATCCTCCTCCAGGGACTGAAGAACTCCATCCTTCCTCCTCAGTCAATCTTGTGCTCCCCCATTCCCAATTAACAGTCAGTTTAACACTAGTTAGAACTGGCTAGAAATGTTTCTAGAGGTCAACCTGAAGCCTTTCTCCACCCAACATGGAGAGTAAGCTGCTCCTGTCTACTGTAATACAGAAAATATATTAAGTCACAAGGAGTCTTATCATCTTATCAAGCAAGAGTTTGGTCCACTGCCTTTGCACTTTGGTACTGCTAGGCTAGGAGTAAACAGGAACCTTGATTTAATGACATGGCAGTGAATTACAAAAGATCATCTGGCTTGTTTTCAAATACAATTCATTAGCTTGTTGCTACAGAATCAGTAGGAAGGTGTAAAGGAAATAGTCTCTCACAGTTGCGACATTTTTTGAAAATTAAGGAGTGGTTGCAATGACTTTTATATATAGATATTTATTAGCTGGGAGGATAGGGTAAAACTTTAAAAGTCAGTTTTGAGCCTAAACTACACTGAGGCTCTGCTTTAGTTATGTTGAACTTCAAAAGCATTAGTATTTACTGGAACACCTAAGAAATGGCTTGTGTGAGAAAAGGAAGTACAGCATCAGTATATACAGACATGACTATATAGTGCATCAAACATAGCTTGGCCTACCAGTCATTTTTAATTAACTCTAACATTACAACCTGCAGCTTACAGGAACCTTCCAGCACCAATGGCAGCACCTTTAAAATTCTGTAATAAACCAATATTTTTCCCGGCAATCATCCTAAATAAGGCACAAAAGCTCAACATGTAGGGAGAAAATGAAGAAAGGTCTGAAGATTAACTTGGTATAGTAGTAGCTAAAAGATTTTCAGCTGCTACCCTGAAGATCATGATGCATCTTTTTCTACCCAGGAAGGGAGGCTCTCATGCAATTCTTTTAAGTTGGTTACTGGAGTAGGAGAACTGGACAATGAAGAGTCCAGCTTTCTCCTTACCCTCCCACTGCCAAAAAGTTTATTTTCTCATCACTTTTTAAAAGTGTTTTCTGTTGTTGTTCAGTAAACAGCAACAAAAGTTCTTGTGAGAATCTGCATATTGGGTTGTGAAGATCTGACAATACTGCTCATTTACATCAGCTTTGTAAAAGTGCACTATACATACACTAAATAAAATTATACAGTAAATGTTATTTGCTTAATAGAACTATTTAAAAATATAAATATGGTAGATTACAAAAACAGTTATGATGTATTTAAAAAATAAAAAATAATTCTATTTATGGAATGAACATACAGTTCCAACCTTCACATAAAAGAAAGAAATCCGGTGCAAGTACCATTACATACAAGTCTGAAATGCTTTTGTTTCCTTGTTTAAGAGACCTCCATGCAAGAAGGATGATAGGTAAGAGTTCAGGAGTTTATTACGACTCACATGCTAGACTAAACTCTGTAGCAATACAATCCCTGTTTCTGCTGTATAATCTAACTCAACAGTTAGAGTGACTGCATTGGGTATAACTCAATCCAGAATGTGATCCTTTATAGAGCACCTATCACAAGTCTCCAAACCAGTGGATGCTTTGGGTTTAAAAAATAAAAGTGATATGTCCTAGAAATGTCTGTTAACTCCTGAGACAAATGGAGCCTCCTGCGGTCAATGTTTTTTTGCTGGAAAAAAATCACTGCAAGGCTATGGGAGCCTGATGTTTCTTCATAATAATGGAATTCAAAGAAATAACAAATCTGTATCATTAGAACAGAGTATAAAAGCCAAGAGAAGCAGGAGCCTTTTGCTTTATAAAAAAAAACCACAATGCATGTCCAAGTATGAAACTTAAGATTTTTAAATCCTTTTTCATCGGAAAAAAATGTGTTAAATAAGTTCAGACACTGAGGCCAAAAATCCCAGCATTTCAAGGTGCATCTTTCTCTGTTGTCTGTCTGGATGCCAGCATCCTGTCAATATACCATGGTATGAAGGCTGTGTTTATACAGCCCTTCATGGTTTTATCCCATTAACTGTACTATATTATGTAGTATTCCAACATATGAAAATGATCCAATACAGTCAAAACTAAGTGACATTTTCCAAGAGAAAGGACAGTTCATATACATTATGTCCACTAATTAACACGCTTGAAGAAAAGGAGGTAGAAGACCCCCGAACAGTAACTAGAAGAAAAGAAGCAGAAGTTTCTTCATGTAGATGCTGAACAGCAACTATGGAATTCAGAAGCCAATACATTTCCGGTGTGCAGTGTTTGGTGGGGTCAAAGTGCAAATGTTTTGCCTATCTAATGCCATGTTTCCCTTTGGAATTGATAAACAGGACCGATTTCCCTTTGAACAAACCTGAGTGAAATGAGTGCTTCCAGAGTTACTTCCTTGAAAAACAGCACATTCTGCATGAGCATGTGTGTGTTCTTGAGCAAATGTTAATGATTAAACACTGAAGAAAGATTAAGAATATCTCTGCCTTTCTAACTGCTGCTTCTTCCAACACTAGGAGTAGGAAAGCATCCTTATATCCAAAAGCTAGAATTTAAACAGGTGTTGACATAAGATAATGTAAATCTGAATGCCTGTCTAGCTGTATACTGGGAGATACCAATAGCAGCAGGCACCAACTGAAAGATATGCTTGAAAGATTTAAGGTAGGGATGTTATACAAAAATGGACATAAGCTGGTACTTCTGTATTGTGAAAAAACTTAATTACAAGAAGCTTTCCCCCTCTTGAAATACCCCAATCAGTACTATTTGTACACATACCTCGAAGAATTCTCTCCTCATGGCAACGTAGAAAGTCCCAGATTCTAACAGTGCCGTCATCAGAGCATGTAGCAAATTTATTATCCGTGGGTGAGAAACTGTTACATGAAGACACACAGCAGGGGAAAGAAGTCAGCATTTAGCAGATTATCTATGCTTCTCAGACAGGGCAAAATTAAACTGTAAGGTGTTATACACTGACGGATGCATTTGAACACAGGGACCTTTAAGTGAACATGGTGTCTGCACAATACTCTGAATTTAGCATATGATTTACTCCTGCACTTCAGTTCCCAGCCAAATAGGAAAAAAACAGAAAATTATACTTAATTCTACCCTACCTATGAATGCATCCAGCAGTACTGTGGGACCAACAGCAACATATATAAGATTTAACAGGAAATGGAGACCTAGATTTCCATACTGTTGACAGCTGTATACAGAAAGTAACCCTGTGCAGAAGCATAGGGATATGGCACCAAGAGCAAATTTCCTCTTCAGCCACAGATGCCTTGCAGCAAAAGAAGCAAAAATTAAATGGTGGTGGAGAAAAGAAAGAGGCTACTGTTACTTGCAGCTGAATTGGTGTTAAAAAATTCTTACATAAAGCATGTTCTACTCATATGAGGAGGAACAGAGGGAGTCTACAGCCATGGAAGAAGCTTCCATACAGATCAATATTGTTTGATGAAAGCCACTGGGAAAAGGGTGGGAGTTTAACCATGTGATTTGGATCAGAACATCTCCAGCAACTGACAGGCAGCCAATTCCTCTTTTGATGCAGTAAAAGACCAAAGAAGAGTCTGTTCAGTTAATTCCAAAGTAGCCTCCTTGAAGTCCCAGATCTTTATGACCAGGAGGGGGCTTAAAATATTGGAGAATGAACATGATACACCAACCAAAAACTGCATCCAATGTAAGTATTATTTGTAATCAATCTCTGCCAAGAAATCCTGCATCTTATCAAAGAGGAAAATGGGGACCTCAATGGAAAAAGTGTTTCTGTGGCAGTGAACCTCTTACCATGAAAGGCCAGCACCACAACTGAAGAAACACTGCTTTAGCTTTATTTAGGTCTGCAGCTCCTCTTCAGGCTTACTTTAAAAGCATTTCTTCTATTTACATTTCTTACTAAAAGATTATATGCAGGTTTACTTTAGAAAACATCTTTCATTTACATCTTACTGAGAAAGTATCACTTAAAATTCCATTTGTCATATAAAATAGACATTTTCACAACTGAGGCATCAACACTGAACCAGGAGAATGTCCTACAGTCTTCTTTTCAATAGTATGCTTACATTTTCAAAGCTTGAAGAACCCATTCAATATTAACATTAGACTTCTGGATGTGGCAATCTGTGTGGGTCTTTAGTATTAGTGGAAACCTTGGCTTCACCAAGCCAAGCAGTTCTTCACTTTATTTAGCTTTTTATTCTTTTGTGAGAACTATGCAGCTGTTTTATTTCTGAAGGCTTTATATTTTATTCAGTTAGATTATTAAAGACTGAATTCTTTATTTGGAATGAAATTGTAGTCTTACACAGTATGTATAAAAAGGAATAACTGATACACATTGTCACCATATATAAATGAAAAGAATACCAGTGCAAAATGCGGCAGACAAATACATCTCTAACATATTGCAGAGGCGGATACTGGGACAATACTACTTCAGAAAGGTGCCAGCAAAACGGTGAGAATGTGGAAACAAAAGAAAATATTGTGTTTGTGTAGTGCAGGAAATTTCCCAAAATCTGACAGAGCCCATGCATTTCAGCACCCAGAATACATTTAGAGAACAGTCTAATCATGGCAATAGGTACTACAGAAAATGGTATATTGTGTATAAACCTGGCCTCTCTAATCGCCTCCTTATGTGCCTGGAACATCTTGACGTTGTTCATGTTGGACTGCCAGTATTTCACATATCCTCCGTGGTCTGCTGTCAGCATCCACATATCATTGTGTGACCAAGTCATGGCCCTTACAGGGCTGTCGTGAGCCTGCAAAGTCAGAAACAGAATTTCTAGCAGACAAGTTCATATTTACCAATTATGACAAAAGACTCGAAACAAATAAAGACTAGTTGCAGCTGCCAGCTCTTTAGAGAAAAAAACATTTTCTATTCTCATGTGCATAAGGCAATTGTTTGCTCTTCACAAGAATATTACTTGTATTTTGTCTCTTGAGCACTTTATAAAATTATAAATCCTCCCAAATGTGAGCTAAGCAAGGGCACATGGTGCCAGAAAGCTTATCCAACATCTCTTCCAACTATATAGTTGGTCTAAAAAAAAGTATCACGACAAAATATTTGTGTCCCAGTATTTTAACAGGAGCAAGTATGTTTACAAACATGGAGATGGAGCTAGAAAAATTAAATCAATTGCCCAAAATTAGCATGGGAGTCAGGGTCAGATCAGGATCAGAATAAAGGGATGTTCTGTATTCAGAACACCAGCCCGTGAGAGGCAAGTGGAAATGCATTTGCTAGAACATTCAGGAAGATGCACACAGCTCTCCAGAGACACTTACTTGTAATATTGTTTCAAAGTTGAACGTGAGTCCATTCCATAACGTAAACTCTCCACTAGAAGCCCCAGTAACCAAACGTCTCCCTTCAGGAGTCCACTACAAAAGAACAGCTGAATTAGCACTGTTGCGACATGATCTTTTTCTTCGGTACCACTCAGTTAGCTGGGTAGCTAGAGCATTTTTATGACTGCAGTGGAAGGCAAGCTAAAAACAGTCAAAGGACAGGCATAGAGCATAGGTGTAGGTCTTTTCACACCTGTGACACCAGGTCAAATCCAGTCCAAGACAGTCTAGACCAAGCCATATCCATAAGAAATAAACTGGGAGTCACAAGACCCATTTCATGTAGATGACTGGTCAACTGCCCACAGCAAATACACTATTACTTAGTACCATGATACCCTTGCTGGAAGTCTGACAGAGTGCAAGGGTGAAACAGACATGGGGACCAAACTACCTCATAGATTTCTTAGACATTAGGGCTGGAAGGGACCTTAGAAGATCATCGAGTCCAGCCCCCTGCCCAAAAGGCAGGAAGTCAGCTGGGGTCATAGGATCCCAGCAAGATAAGCATCCAATTTTCTCTTGAAGGTGTTCAATGTAGGTGGCATGAACCACCTCTGATGGCAGGCTATTCCAGACCTTGGGGGCTCAGACAGTAAAGAAATTCTTCCTTATGTCCAGCCTGAAATGGTCTTGCAGTAGTTTATAACCGTTGAACCTCGCCATCCCTTGGGGAGCTCTGGTAAACAAACGTTCCCCCAGACATGGGTGGTCACCCCTGATAAACTTATAGGTGGCTATCAGATCACTCCTGAGCCCGCGCTTTTCCAGGCTAAAGAGCCCCATAGCTTTCAGCCTGTCGTCGTAAGGTCTGTTTTCCTGACCTCTGATCATGTGCGTGGCTCTTCTCTGGACTCTCTCAAGCTTCTCCACATCCTTTTTGAATTGTGGGGCCCAAAACTGGATGAGGTACTCCAGCTGCAGCCTTACCAAGGCGGAGTACAAGGGGAGAATGATGTCCTGGGATTTGCTTGAGAAGCATCTATGGATGCAAGCCAGCATTTTGGTCGCTGCAATGTGATGCTGTGGCTAGTAAAGGCTCATGTTCATCTTGTGGTCAATGATGACCCCCAAGTCTCTTTCTTCTGTA